GGACATACAAAGCAACAAAGAAATAATCTTATAAATGTGCTAGAAACAAATGCATGAAAGAAAAAAAAACATTTAAATACATATCTTAGGGTTCATTTTCCTAACATCATTCAGGGTGATTTTTTTCAGTTAAAAAAATAATAAAAAAGGTTACCATACACTTTATGCCAAATAAAACACACCACTCTTCCTGAGATCTAGAGCTAATTTATTTTGGCTCATGTGTTCCCCAGAGAGGAGAAACAGCACTGCACATGGCAGCTCGGTCCGGCCAGGCTGAAGTGGTACGGTATCTCGTCCAAGATGGAGCTCAGGTAGAAGCTAAAGCTAAGGTATGTTTGATACAGAAAAGTATTTCCTGTTGAAGGAAAACCTTGGATTTTAGCAAAAATCTTTAAATATTTGTTTACTCTCCTTCAAGAACATTTTCTTAAAAATAGTAAATAGGCCTGGCACTGGTGGCTCACACCTATAATCCTAGCTACTCAGGAGGATGAGATCTGAGGATCACAGTTCAAAGCCAGGCTGGGCAGAAAAGTCCACAGACTTTCCGTGAGACTATTATTTCCAATAAATTATTCAGAAAAATCCAGAAGTGGCACTGTGGCTCAAAGTGATAGAGTGCTAGCCTTGACCTGAAGAACTCAGGGACAGTGCCCAAGACAAGAAGAGTTCAAGCCCTATGACTGACAAAAAACAAACTGGAAGTAGTGCTGTGGCTCAAGTGGTAGAACGTTAGCATAAAGAAGCTCAGAGACACCACCCAGGCCTGAGTTCAAGCCCCACAACTAACAAAAAAATAAAAATAAACATAAAAATAAATATATATATTAAACAGTTTCCAATGACAAAGGTCTCTACCCAAGTACTATTGTAAGAGCTCTTTCCACATTAGCTCATTCAACTATTTAATGTAGTTAAATAGAATAAGAACATTGTGCCAGAGTTCTTGGCATATTGCCCCAACAGATTAGGAACCGGATATAGACTTGGTCCAGAGTTCCCTGCACTCCTGGAAGATAGATATAGAGGGAAAGCTTCTATTAACAATCACAACTTGGAAACACAATTGAGCTATTTCAGTTGCCTTATAGGTCAACTGGCACAGCCACTAAAGGAAAAAGAATAGGTATTTTTTGTCTATAAATTGCGAAAACATAATCCTTGAGACTCAGATAATAGAAGCTTCAGGAAATTGTTTTCACATGTAAGAATGTGAGAGAAGAGTATGGGTATTTCATGTCTGCCTGGTGTTGAGCCTTCAATAGAAATCCCCCTTACCTGGCTCTTGTAAGACAGATAGCTGATCTGCTGATGAGAATGGTAGTATGGAGCTGGAAGAGGTAACACAGCCGGAAGATTATAAATTCAAGGGTAGCCTGGACCACATAGATCCTATCTCATAAATAAATTACTTATTAATATTCACCTCAGGAATCATAAACACATTAAAGCTTCAGCCATCTTAATTTATTAGCACTGAATCAGAGTTGAATGTTCCTCTGACACGTAGCAGTTAATGTTCTGGAATTTTCGTGACACTTGTATCCTGAGCTCATCGGTGTTTCTACCTTGCTGTTTAGGATGACCAAACCCCACTCCACATTTCAGCCAGACTAGGGAAGGCAGATATAGTACAACAGCTGTTACAGCAAGGAGCTTCGCCCAATGCAGCCACAACTTCGGGGTACACCCCCCTCCACCTTTCAGCCCGAGAGGGGCATGAAGATGTAGCATCATTCCTTTTGGATCATGGAGCATCCTTATCTATAACAACAAAGGTAGGAAAGCAAGTCTCAGAATCCTACTGTGTACTCTAAAATACATCTTCCATTACAGCATCCTGCATAGTCATGGGCACAGAAATTACATAAGAGCATCTATACGGGGGTCCCCAGGGTAGTTCTCAAACATGGCCAGAAAAGCCTAGAAAACAAGTTCTTTCTATTGTGAGAAGAGTTTGTTTTTGCCATTCATGTTAGTTTCTCAACCTATCTTCTAATGAAGTTGTATTGATACCTAGAATCAATTAATTCTTGCAAGTTATTTGATAGACCTAAATCGCAGTTTGAAAAAACAGCTATTTGAAAAAATTTCCCTTGTTGAGTCCAAGTACATAAACATTGTCAAAGCTCTTTTGATAGATGCTTTTATAAAACTTTCAAATGAGGAATTGTGAGTTTGTAATTATTGTTATTATCTGATAGATGATTTGATTTTTAAACTCTGTTGTCTCAGAGTAATAGACCATCCTACAGTTGCTCTGTATGGGCAGAATGCAAATTTTTTTTCATTTTTCTTGTGATATTGCATAAATCTAGCAAATATAATAGTTAAGATGAAATGGACTATGGAATGTCTTGAAAAGGTAATAATTAGTGCCGTAGTCACTCACTTCATGTCAGTAAGAAGGATTAATAGATAGTCCATGCAGAAGATTATCACAAATACTTAGAAAACAATGTGAGGGAAAATGATGACTATCTTAATTTTCATCTCCCATGATTCTTTGGTCTCTTTAGTAGAGTTGAGATGCAAGCTCCTAGATTAAACTTTCTACATGACACAGAGTAATGAATGAGTAATAGGGCTATTACTCGATGCAACTACAGTGACAAAGGTGCAAGAATCTGACTTATGAAAACTAGAGCATGTGTAAGGACAGTATGTGTAGCGTGAAGACATAAGGAAAGTGAAAAGATATCATTCCATCTTGGAATATAATATTGCAAAAGGTGCAGACTTCCACTGGATTTTCTCAAGTCTTCCAACATGAAAGAAGACTCTGCAACCTATTCTCAACATGACCTTACAACAATCCCCAGATTTAGCTCCACAACTTCATCCTTGTGAAATACTTGCTTAGCTCCAGAATTAGTAGCATTGTGTAGCTCAATCAGCACAATGAAAGTCTCCCTATACCTTTTGGTAAAGCAACTCTGAAATGATTATGCATTAGTCTTGACCCCTCCATGTATACTTAACAGATCATCATTGTTAGAATAATTTGTTGGTGCTAGAAAGCTTGTATCCCTATTCTGTTCATTTTCTTCATTTCCATTTTCAGAAAGGATTTACTCCTCTTCATGTGGCAGCAAAGTATGGGAAGCTTGAAGTAGCCAATCTCCTGTTACAGAAAAGTGCATCTCCAGATGCTGCTGGGAAGGTAGGAGGTCATCAGCCACCCTGGAACAGGCCACTTCTATGATAACAAAACAATCACTTTCTAATATTCCCCGACAGCCACATAGATGATAACTAAAACACGTTTAAAAGATGAAGAATGCTTGGACAATAAGAAGTGAATGCTTGGTCCAAGTACTATGGGACTGGAATGTAAACGATGCTCAGGGTTGTCTAATCCTGTGTCCTAACTTTCATGTTTGATATTAAGACACTTCTGACCCTGGTTGTTGTTTCTGCACGTGTTTTCAGAGCGGGCTAACTCCACTGCATGTAGCTGCACATTACGATAATCAGAAAGTGGCCCTTCTGCTTTTGGATCAAGGAGCCTCACCTCATGCGGCTGCAAAGGTACCTGTAATTCACGGCCTGAAGAGATTGATGGGCAATGTCTGTCAGTCTCTGTATGTCCATGTACATTCACTTCATCTGTGGTACCCGCCTTGTTTAACCACAACTTAAAAATCACAGAAATAAAAGCACCTGGGAATCTCTGCCTCAGCTACTCAGTCAACCCATATGGTAGATTCTCAATAGGTATTTATTTGCCAATTGATTTCCCTTGGAAAAAAAATCTAGAGCATCCTGGAGCTTGGGGAGGAAAAAGAATTGGAATACTCTTTAGCTAGATTGGAAACATAAGCATTGCCTGAGGGAGTAAGAAAAGTTCTGATCTGTCAAAGTTATAAAATATGTACTACATTTTCCTGGCCATAAAACTTGTCTTGGAGTTGTATGTGTTTCAAATATTAAGTTGGCAAGTTTTAAATATGTTTTTATTATTGCCAAGGGAATATTTCTTCTTGCTGTTAGGTTATTTTTAACCAGTATATGACTTCAATTTGAGAGGAGAAAAAACATAAATGGAGGATAGAATATAAATGAAGTATAGAACATACAGCTATGTTAGTGCTCTGATAGTCTAGTTTGGGTGGCAAACCATAAAACAGTTTATTTGAGGATGTACTAATATAATTAATATGTTCCCTATTATTGAGCAGGTAATTGTGACCAGAGAACACAGAATATTACAAGATCATAGCTTAAATGTGATTTGTATTAATTCTTCTACTGAATCCTATTGGTTGAAGGATCTTTTAGAATTCCTCATGTTTTTTTTTTATTTTGAGGTGGCTTGTGTACTCTTTGTTTAAATTTAATACTTAGATCATAGCAATAAGTCAGTGAATCTAGGCTGGTCTAGATTACTTTAAGTATTTTGTAATTTTTTTGGGGGGGGGGTCCCGTCATGGGGCCTGAACTCTGGGCCTGGGCGCTGTCCCTCAGCTCTTCAGCTCAAGGCTAGCACTCTACCACTTGAGCCACAGTGCCACTTCTGGCTTTTTGCTTTTTTTTTTCTTTTGCTTATGTGGTGCTGAGGAATCGAACCCAGGGCCTCATGCATGCGAGGCAAGCACTCTACCACTGAGCCACCTTCCCAGCCCCGACTTTAAGTATTTTGAAAGAGGTTTTCTTTGACAGGTATTTCTCCCCTGAAACTTTTTTTCTGCATTCTGAAGTCATTTCCTGTCCCCTGACCTCTCCAGAGCTATGTCTACTGAAGTGAATTTCAATTCCCAATCCCAAATATGCTTTTATCTAAATGTGTCATTGTCACCTAATTTCTGACCTTAACCTTACTTCAGTTGTGAGAAACATTTATCAAGCCAAGACCTGAAAGTAAAATTCTATCTTTAAAAGAAAAAATACATCATTATGCAAAATAATCCCAATGTCCATCCACAATAAAGATATAGAAATGTAGGGATGTGCGCACATACATACTAAATATTTTTATTCACCTTAAAGATGAAATTTTGACAAATGTGAACTGATATACACCATTCTAAAGCACAAATACTGTATGGTACTGATATGATGTACACAGAATATTCAGAGACAGGTAGAAAAGTGGTTGGGCTGACAGAGAGGAATGAGGGGCAGAGGTTCAAGTTAGGAAGATAATATTCTAGAGATGGGTAGTGATTGTTGGAGAACAATATAAAGGTATTAATACCACTGTCTTATTCACTTCAAGTGCCTTAAATGCATGTGGCTCATGCATGTTTGTTCAGGAGGCTAAGATCTGAGTATCACAGTTCAAAGCCATCCTGTCAGGAACTCTTGGCTTCAGTTAACCACCAAAAGGCCAGAAGTAAGCTATAACTCAAGTGGTAAAGCACCAGTGTTGAGTAGAAAAAGCTAAAGGATAGCATCTAGGCCTTGAGTTCAAGCATCAGTATTGGCACAAAAATAAAGCTTTAAATGTAAACTTCTGATATGTATATTTACTGTAACTTTAAAGAGAAAATGTGAAATGGAATTCAGCAGTTGTATATTCTATTTCAATTTATTTTTAATGCTCCTGAGTTCCTTTTCTCACAAGTATCCCCAGGCTCTAGTGTCTTAGTAGGTAACTAGTATATAATTTAGTAGGTAAACTATTCATTCCTCATATGAGAACAATAATTTGTCACAGCTAGTACAAAGCAGTTTAGAATAGAAAGGAGTTATGAAATATACAACTCATCCAACCCAGCATTCAATCTGCAAATAACACTTCAAGTCCATAATTGGTATATTTGTAGTTGATATCCAGCTTTGTATATTTGTCAAATGAGATTTAGTATTCATGATTCCATATCTGCAAAACATGTTTAATCAAGAACAGAAAAGTTATCCTTTAAAAAACTATAGCATCCCCTTAGCCATATTATTTATAGTCAATTAAACATAGGCTTTTCTAATGGGACACTGATTCCATTTCCATAGCATAATTGACTCCATAAGACCTGTGTAATGCCACCTCTGGCACGTGTCCAGCCAGCCATCCCCATCCTCTGGAGTACTAGTCAGAGACTTTTCTCTCAGTCAGGGATTTATTCTCCAAAAAGAAAAAAAAAATCCACACTACAGTGTTGTAAAATGAAGAGGCTCTGTTTTTTTTGTAGTCAAGATGTACACCACATCTTGTTAATGTTGCTTTGGAGCCAGGTCCCTTTTCCAGCAGCAAACAGCAGGAAGTCTGCACAATAGGGCTTCCACCAAGTCTCCTTACATTTCACTAGCCACACCTGTCTGCAAGGTAAGCTGGGAAATGTAGTTTTTAGCTAGGCATATTGCTTCACTAGGGAAGGAGAAAAAATGCATACAGGGTAGGCAGTCTGCCTCCATTACTCCAGGGGAGCTCAATTGTTGCTGAATTCTGGCAGCGGAGAAAAATAAGGGACAGTTTGAACTGAACTTGAATACTATATAGGATGACCGCAGCTCAGTGTTAAGTTTTTCTCAAGTCACATCTATTCTTTTTTCTTGGAAGGCATGATGCCTTCTTACACTTTCTTCTCTTTTTAAAAACCAACAGTATATTTTTACTTACACGTGGCCTAGAAACATGTTGTGATTTTTAGGTGACTGGAATGCTAAAAGTACAGATGAGCTATTGTCATACATTTTAATGGATCTGTTCCCTGGAAAGAAGACTGGTCTTGAGTTAGAGGCAAAAGCAGGACACTAAATGTGGGAGAGATATAGTGGGTCTTAATCTATTGTATATCATGTTGCTTTCCAACAAAATATGCAGCAATCTATGTGTATGGATTAGTATGTTCATGAATATAAGTGTGATATGAATATGGTATCTTGTATTTGCTTTTATTTTCATATGAGAGAAGTATTTATCTTCATCAAAGTGGGGGAAAGGTAGAATTCTACAATTGAATCTCTCCTTATTTTGTTTTTCCAATTAATACATTTCCCTGTAGTGTGGCAAGTGAAAACGATTGCACTTTCTAGAAAACAAAAAGAACTATTAAAAAAAACTTAGAGAAGTTCTTATAGGTCTCAAGATGAACTCTTCATTATTGTAAATATTTCTTGGAGCTCTTCAAGGTTAACTTTCCATTCTCAATACCATGGCCATTTTCTCCTTCCTTATACTTTTCTTTGTATCCAGGCAAGGCCCTCAGAATAAATCACTAAGCAATAATGTGTAATTTATTGGGAACAGACATGTATTTCAGTGATGCATAGCTTCTCTTGATAAATCTTCCTTACAATTTAGGATTTGGGGCTGGAAATAGAAGAGATCAAGACAACTGTCATTTCTGAGAGGATAGAGGGGAAGTGAGCAGTCTTAGCTTAGCTAGGGGTTGAACAAAGTGATTCACTTGAAGGTTCTATGTGGAGAAAAGCAGGAAGAGAAAAGGATGAAATGATAGAAGCTAAACTCTGACTTCACCTTGCCTTCATCACACTACTTACTTCATGTTAGACGTTTATTTCACCTAGTTCCTATTTTATTGTCACTTTGTGAATTTTCTTTCTCATAAGGGGGGTTGACCTTCATGAAGCAGCTCATCCCTTTCTGTCACTCACATTGGGGATGGGGGGGGGAGGGCTCCGACCAGTGGTGAGCCTTGGGAGAAATTGGTCTCTAAATGGTGTGTCTGAGCATTTGGTGAGTGAACCACATGCTTCACAGGGCAGTTGGGGTTTCCAGATGGCCATAGGTCAAAACTAAAAATAGGGATATAAAATCTTTTACCCTGGCTCATCCAGTTTGGCAGAGACTGGATTTCAGAAAAGTCTAGATGTGAGGGTTTTCCACCCCCCTTCCCATTTTTTATTTTATAGAGTCAGGCTTGTGTCCTTATCAAAATGTAGTTTTGTATTTCCCTTAAATGACTGTGAGCCAGGGCAAAAGCTCCCAAATCATTTCCTCAGGTCAGGGGATTCTGAAGGCTCTTGAGTCACAGCTAATTAACAATTTATAAAAGGAAGTTTGATTGTCTCTAGCTGAGCATCTAGGGGTCAGCCTAAAGATTGTTGCAAGGATGTTTTGAAAGCTTTTGTGCACTTGACTGAAATTCTAAAGATTTCTTTCTTCACTGAATCAATAGGAGTCAGTTGTTGTGCACGATCAGTTAAAGCCAAATACAGCACAATCGGTGCCCTTGACAAACTTAGATTTAGTAAAAGGAGATCGATATTTAAACAACAGAGTACCCCTAACTGTTCCCAGGATTTTGATCCGGTTGGGAGCTCAATGTTAAGGGTTAGAAAGTAGAAAAAGGTGGAAAACTTCATGGAGATGATTGCCCTTGAACTAAATTTTCATCTGCTAGATGATGACTTCCTGTACATACGTGCAAAAAGCATTTTTTCACAGAGCAAGGCAAGAGAAATGGGAGTCTGAAGCAGTCCCTTTGAAGATAGGCAAATAGGAGATGATCGTAGCATCTTGACTACTATGAACATTAAGGATTCATTATGTGATGCTGAGGCTGAAAACTTTATAAAGAACAGGCAGGAAGCTCATATGTTTCTTGAAGCTAAGGAGGTCAAGGTTGAAGGACTCACATGGGTCTCCTTGTTGTCTCATCCCCTGGCAGAAGGTAGGAGGACCAAAAAAAGACTGAAAAATAGAGGAAGGAGGATGATCTCAAGCTTATATCAAAAACCTAGATCTCAATTAAACATTCTCAAGATAACAACCTAAATCCACTCAGGAAAGAGCCTAAAGATGACCCAATTGCCTCTTACAGATTCCACTTACCCTGGAGAGGGACTTTGTAACACATGACTTTGGGGTACACATCTGAACTATAGAAGATGGCCAATAATGTTGTTTGTTTGTTTTAATGGAATTTTGCTAGAGACTCATGTCTGTAATTATAGCTACTCAGGAGGCTGAGCTATGACAATCCTAGTTCAAAGCCAGCTGAGACAGACAAATCTAAGACTGTTATATACAACTAACCAGTAAAAAGCCAGAAGTGGAGCTGTGGCTCAAGTGATAGAGCAGTACCTTAAATGATAAAGCCAGGGAGAATGCCTAAGCCTTGAGTTCAAGTCCCAGTTCTAGCATACACACCTACATTTATGATAACATACACTTATGATACATACATAAAATTTTGAATAACCTTGAACATGTCCCAATATTATCATATCTTATTATTGCATATTAATCAGTTCCCTCCTGTTCTCAGTTTAAAATAAAGCAAGTAATTATTGAGTGCCTACTATGATAAGGACCTATAAAAGAAAAAAATATCTGTGTCCCTTTTGGAAAACCAAAACTACTCTGATTCTCTTAGATTACAATTATCTATATTGTTACATTTCTCCTACTTTGAAATTCAGAGACTTCACTGATGATACCAATTAATTAACCATGATTTTTTTAAATACCGAATGATAGTTTTTCAAACCACCAAAAGCAGTAGAACAGAGAAGCATGCACAGCACATGTTTTGATCCTGTAACTAGGCCTGTGACCAAGTGATTTATGTTGACAGAATGGGTACACGCCACTGCACATCGCTGCCAAAAAGAACCAGATGGACATAGCCACAACTCTGCTGGAATATGGTGCTGATGCCAATGCAGTTACTCGGCAAGGGATTGCTTCTGTCCATCTCGCAGCTCAGGAAGGGCACGTGGACATGGTGTCTCTGCTCCTCAGTAGAAATGCGAATGTGAACCTGAGCAACAAGGTAACCTTTTCCTTGGTATACAAAACAAACTGCACAAAAAGACCTTCACCCTTCAGAAAAGTCCCCCCAAATAAGGAGAAAATCTGGATTCAATAATAGATGCAAAAGTGAAATATTACACAGATGTTTATTGAAATGTTCTTTATCATAGCAAAAACTTGGACATAGCTGATGGCTTATGCTTGTAATCCTACCTTCTCACAAGGCTGAGATCTGAGGATTGTGGTTTGAAGCTAGCTTTGGCACACAAGTCCAAGAAACTCTTTTTCTCAAATTAACTAGCAAAAAGCCGGGAGTGGAGGTATGGCTCAAGTGGTAGAGTGCCAGCTTTGACCAAAAAAGCCAAGTGAGCCCTCGAGTTCAAGCCCCAGTATTGGCACACACAGATACACATACACATACATACATACATACATACACACACACACACACACACACACACACACACACACGAAAAACTCAAAACTTTGAAAAGAATTAATTTAAATAATAGAATGGTAAGTAATTCAGTCACACAATTAAATTACATATGTGTGATAGATGGATGGATGGATGGATAGATAGATATTTAGCTCTATAAAATGAGATCCAGAAAGGTTTTGTAGTAACAAGTTTTGTAATCAAGATAACTTGAAGAATTATATTCTCTCTGTACAGCATATCAAATAAGAAGTTGTAAATTGTAGCCTATTGTTTTATCCCACAAATATCTCTTACGCTTCTATTCCTACTTGTCGGTCTCCATTTTTGTTGTTGTTGTTTGTTTGTTTGTTTTGATTACAAAGAGAAATTGGCAGCATTGCTGCTTCTGGGAGTTTATTTTAATAGCATCAGTTAGAGTAACTGTTTCAGTGACTAGATGGGAAAGTTGCTAGCATATAGGACTAGTGTTTGCTGTCAAGTTCAACTTAATCTTAAGGAAGAAAACCTTTCTCAAAATGAAGCACATTCTGGTATCTACTAGAATCACTGAAATCACAGAGGGTTTTAATCTTAAATCGGACTTCTTAGTAATGTAATGTGAGCAAATTAGATTACCTCTCTCTACCTCAGTGCTATTCTTTAGTAGATGAAGATAATGGCTGGCTTTTAATTATATTTTTTATTATCTTTAGTTGCACAAAAGGGATTGTCATTCAACAAATCACATATTAGCATACTGTATCTTGATTGATATCACCCATTTCATCAGATAATATTTCTTTGCAGAGGTGTCTCTCTAGTTCTCTCAATCTACCCTTGCAACACTACCATTTTACTCTGCGTGTTTTTTTTCTTCCTTATTAAAAAGCACTTTTAAAGATTTAACTTCTGCGAAAATATTTACTAGACAAAAAAAAAATTAATCCCTTTACTGGTGATTTTAAGGAAAAGATCATGAGCCCAAGGTTAATGCTGAAGCACTGTATTTGACCCGATCCCATTTTGCCAGTGGAGTTCTTAGGGTCTCACATAGATTTTACAAACACTTATATTTTTATACACTTGAATGAATGGTAAACAGAGTTATTACTCTAAGTTGATATAACTGATTTTTTAATGCCATTTAAAGGGAACAATAGTCCAAATTCCATAAAAGATTAACAGTTAACTCATAATACAGAGCTATGGTAACCTTTACAGTAGTTTTAAATGTGTGTATACATATACATATATACGCATATATATATATGTATGTACGTATATATGTATGAGCCTGGCATAATGCTACTGGAGACAAAATTAGCGTTCAAGGTCGGTCCTGTCAAAGTTATCATTCTAGTATCTGAAAAACTAAAACCCAAAGGGCTGTTGAGGCCCAAGTAGTAGAGCTCCAGCCTAGCAAGTAAAAATGCTCTGAATTCAGTCCTAGGTGTGTTTGTGTATATATTTAACTAAAACCATTAATATAAAAGCAAAATTTTACTTAATTCCTCCTTCGTTGTTTAATTCTTCCTTTATCACAAAAAAGTCTGAATTTTCTTCTGACTTAATCCACACTGGATTAAGTGCTAGCTGCAGGACATAGGTTATATACAGATTAAAGATATAATTCTTGCCTCAACAAGCTTGCAGTGGTTTGAGGACAACAAATAAGAAAGCAAAATAAGGCAGAGTTATGACGCCTCTTAAAGGGGTGAGCATATAATAATAATGTGGCCATCCCTTTAGTGGGACAAGGAGAAAGAGAAGGCTGGGAAGGTAGAGGTGGCTCTATGTCAACATTAGAAAGTAAGGAATCATAGAAACAGCCTAGGTGTACCTAGACAGGGGGCAGGAGTAGCAGGAGTAGGTAGTGAGTGGGTCCAGATTAAATTTCTCCGTCTTCTCTTAGGTCCACTCACTAAAGTCTCCTCAGAGCTTTGAATAGTTAAAACCTCACAGAGTGACCATGCCACTTGTTCAGAAGGTTACAGCTAAAAACATTATTACCTCTAAAGCCAAATATGGAACATGGATCTGTGTTTATGTCAGTACTTGGTTGATGCCAATTTTTCCCCCAGTTGTTTTTCTTGGACTTCAAGTGAATACATTGGTTCTCCTCTCCCCTGTTATTCAGTTGAGGGATCCACCTCCCAAATTCTATCAACATCATTAAAAAGTCATGAGCACATGACTCTTTCAGAGTCCTGTCATTTCTCTATGGACTAGGGACTCCTAAATAAGTAACGCTCTCTGTCTGGAGGGCTCTGTGCTCTTGCTGAAGCTGCCTTGGATCTGCTCTTTCCCTCTGACAGGTAAAATAGGCTGACATTTTCATTGCACAGATATAAGGTAGTGTGAGAAGAAGGCTTTGCAGACTCAAGTTGAATATTAACTTCTATACTCATCATATATGTGAGAAAATAATCCAAGAGCATGTTCATCTGCCCACTTTCTCTTTAACTATTCCTTAGGGAAAAAATGCTTCACAATTATGGAAGTTTTTAAAATCAGAGTTCAAGCTTAGTGAATTTTTCTTGGCCAACAGAAAAGCCATGTAATCTGAGGTTTCTCCAGTAGTGTCACTTTCAAATAGTCTTGTCAAACCTATACAGCATTTAAGTGACCGAGAAATTCTCATAGCATTCACATTACATTTCACAGTTGATCTTTCCTACCCAAAAACAACACACAGAAAATATTCATTAGGCCTTGAGTATTAATTAAGATAGGATCATCATTTGCCAACATTTACTTTGTAACCTGATATTCTTTTAATAATTTTTATGATGCTTGTGCCATTGATAATATCTTAAAACTTTAGTATAATTTTGTTTGGAGAGAGACACTAGTACCATGTCTAGGGTTTACTTTAAATATTACCACAGTGAAATCAATGCAAAGCAAACATGAGGATGGATGCACTAAACAGAAGAATCTTGACAACTGTGAAGTATATAAAGTATATAAAGTTCACTACATTCCCTCCACTTTTGGGTTTGCTTAAACATTTTGGTGAAACCTGTAAACTGAAGTGATGTCATAGGACTATTATGGTGTGGCATATGAACTGATACTTTTTTTTTTTAACAGAGAAATGTCAGGCTTACGCTCCTAGAATTTATGAGTCATTTCTCAAACATGACTTCATACACTACTTTGCTTCCTGTGAGATGACTGTGCCCTTGGGATCTTTTGCAGAATGGCCTCACCCCTCTCCACCTGGCTGCTCAGGAAGACAGAGTGAATGTAGCCGAAGTCCTTGTAAACCAAGGGGCACACGTGGACGCCCAGACAAAGGTACCTCAGCCCTTCCCCCTTCCCATAAAAAGGAGCATGTCCATGCGAAGTGCCATTTTTTGTCTCCAGGGTGGAAGCACCCACGCCCTGTTGTATAGGAGGAACATCCCTTAGTCACAGCTTTTATCCAAAGTGCTTCAAATGTAGGTTTCGACAAAGAAAACCAAAACCTTTGGTTGTGTCTCACAGATACTCTTGTTTTTATATGCCCCTCCCTCATTCCCCTTCTAACATTGGGGAGTTTTGCCACAGATCTGGCTTTTGAGAGTAGCATGTAAACCCTTGTACTTAAGTTTTGTGACTGACCAAATACACACACACACACACACACACACACTCACATATATATATATATATATATATATATTCACACACACACATATATATATATGTATATATATCTTTATTCAGCATGATTTTTGAAAAAGACTAAATGAAACAAAGGGTTAATAATTACTTTTTGTGATCTTTATGTGCTTTCTCATGATGGCACAAATCCTCCCACTTCTACCCAGGACATAGTATCTCTTTCACAATGAAAGAAGAAGAAAAAAAGCTGAGTAAACTCTTATTCAAAAGCAGATAAGAAAATGGATACTTTTTGTTGTTATCAAAGACCTGACTTTGTATTCTTCTCTGAACATTTTCTTTGGATGCTTAATTTTGTTAACTGGTCCTATCCGATTTGTTTTATTTACTCTGAAATACAACTCTAAAATACAACTCGTCTTAATATATGTCACATCTGACACAAAAAATAATGCTTATCAAATGTTATATATAAATAAAAACATGTTTGCATGCAGATGACTCACACCTGTAATGCTAGCTACCCAGCAGGCTGAGTTCTAAGGATCATGGTTCAAACCCAGACCAGGCAGGAAAATCCATGAGACATCTCCAGTTAGTCACCAAAAATCTGAAAGTGGAGCTGTGGTTCAAGTGGTAGAGAGCTAGCCTTGAGCAAAAAAGCTCAGAGATATCCCCCAGGCTCTGAGTTCAAACCTCAATACTGGCACACAAAAATAAATAAATAAATAAACATTTTTGAATGCAATATGAGTAAGTTCTTAAGTGTAAGAACTTGTTGAAGATATTAATAATACAAAAGTGTCAGGAAGAGTTAGCCAGGTAAAAAACATTACAGTCATCCAAGTCAGACTGAATTTAGGTTATTTTCTTTATTTTGCTCGAATATTTTCATCAAGAAGAGTTCCCTACTTTAGAAATTTGCAGATTTGTGGTAAATGTGTCCACTCATTATTATATCATACCCCTTCCCAACATGACTGAAATATTTTATTAGGTTACTTCTCCATTTTTTTTTCCTGAACATACATTAGTTGTACGAGAGAATTCCACTATAACGTTCTCCCCCACCTCTCCTTCTCCCCTCCCCCAAACATTCCCATTGTTTGATTTTGATACATGCAACCATATCCACCCTCTTCATTTTTCTTTTATAGCTATAGAATCTAAAAGCAACTAGGTCAGGGTTGTCAGTGATTTCATGTCCTCATATATCAAAGGCATGCACCCAAATTCAGTCAGAAAGCCTGAGAAGGTTTTCCAGGCCAGCGTGGGGGGGGGGGGGGGGGGCGCGAGGGGCGGGGTATAGAGGGGCGGGGGGGGGGGGGGGGGGGAGGGGGCGGGGGGAGGGGAGGAGGGGGGGCGCGAGGGGCGGGGTATAGAGGGCCAGGCTTCCTTTTGGCAGGCAATGTGTATGTGTCAGGTGTCTGCCAGGGTTTCTTCTCAACCCAGCTCAACTAAGGCCACAGTCTTATCTCTTCAGTGGAATATCTCAAAGCGTTTCTTTTCCTGACTTTTACAAAGTATAATTTCTGTCTCTTGCAAATTCTTTTTCTTTCCTTCTTTCTTTCTTGGCAGAGAGCACAGCCAACCAAAAGTGAAGCCGTGAATGCTCAATAATTCGAGTAGAGCAGAAGGATAGCTATGGTTGCTTGTACTTACTAAACATAGGGAGCAAAGTGAGGGAGGGTTTATATCCCAAAAGCTTTCAGCTCTCACTGGGTAAGAAGAAAAAAAGATACCTATAAGCAGCTTCTGGATAGGATATAGAACGTGATTCATGGCTTATCTTTGTAATTTTTAATTTTTTTTTTTTTTTGTCGGTCCTGGGGCTTGAACTCTGGGCCTGGGCGCTGTCCCTCAGCTCTTCAGCTCAAGGCGAGCGCTCTACCACTTGAGCCACAGAACCACTTCCGGTTTTCTGGTGGTTTATTGGAGATAGGAGTCTCATGGTCTCTCCTGCCCGGGCTGGCTTTGAACCGTGATCCTCAGATCTCAGCCTCCTGAGTAGCTAGGATTATAGGCGTGAGCCACCAGCGCCCGGCTTTGTAATTTTTAAATTTTTATTATTATTTTTAAAAAATTTCGTTGGTCATGGGGCTTTAACTTGGAGCATAGGTGCTGTCCCTGAGCTCTCTTTGCTCAAGGCTAGTGCTCTACCACTGTGAGCTACAGGGCCACTTCCAATTTTCTAGTGGTTAATTGGAGATAAGAGGCTCACAGACTTTCCTGCCAGGGCTGGCTTCCAACTGCGATCCTCACATCTCAGCCTCATGAGTCACTAGGATTACAGGCCTGAGACACCAGTGTCTGGCTATTTTTTCAAATAATAATAATGAAGCTATCAAGGGCTGTTTGTCCTTGTGAGCAGAGTCTCATTACATCCGTGGCAGCCTTCCTCACTACCTTCCTTTTATACCCCCTGCTACATTTGCCTTTGAACTTTATTAAATGAATTGAGATGAATTGTACTGCTCATCACCAGGTTAAATGGTCAGTGTTATTTGGCTTAGATGAAGCAAGGCTTTATTTTCTTATGTTCTATTTGGTCAGTTCAATAGTTTGAACTCAAAACCTCCTACTTGCTTGACCGGTACTCTATCATTTGAGCTATGCCTCAAGCCCTGCTTTTTTGCTGATCCTTATAGAGATTCAATCTAGCTGGCTTTTCCTCCTGGACTAGCCTCAAACTGACCCTTGACAAGCAGCTACAAAAATCAACCTATCTAGGCTGAGCATCTCTCCATCTTTCTCCCTTCCTGTCTTGAACAGTACTATTTTAGTGTGCTGCTACTAGGGCCTTGTGTTCTCATTTAGTATTTTTGCTCAAGACTGGTGCTCTGCATTTAAGTCTCACCACCATTTTTTTGGCCTGGCCTGGCTTTGAACCTTGATCCTCAGATCTCAGCATCTTAAGTAGCTAGGATGACAGCCACTGGTACCCAACTCATCTTGAACAGTTCTGGTGTGCAGGAAAGGAGCATGATCTAAGAGACAGCATTTAGAACGTTAAATAACTGTTTTTTATGTGCAAATTCAAGATTAGGAAGGCAGGAGACCATTGTTATTCATACCTAATATTAACTCTGAGAAATATCAAGGGTATTTTTTAAGAGAACAACAACAACTATTTCCCATCATAAAGTTGAATAATAATGTTACTTCTATTTAGGATAGCTGTTACTAAACGTGTACTTATGATGTTTCTTTTTCTATGAAATATAATTACAGATGGGCTATACACCACTCCATGTGGGCTGTCACTATGGAAACATCAAGATAGTTAATTTCCTACTCCAGCATTCTGCAAAAGTTAATGCCAAAACAAAGGTATGCCGCTTGCTCTTTCCTTTCCACCAAAATCGTTGCTTTTTGTATCCACGGAAGTATGAGTCATTTCTTCCATCTTCTCTCCACAGAATGGGTACACACCCCTGCACCAAGCCGCCCAGCAGGGCCACACGCATATAATCAATGTCTTGCTTCAGAACAATGCCTCCCCCAATGAACTCACTGTGGTAAGCCTCGGGCTCGCTCAACGGAAGCAGGAAGAAGAGCTAGGGGAGCCTGGACACTGGTGTCTTACTTTTTTCATCATATTCCAATGTTCCATTTTCAAGTTTCATTCCTAGGCTGCACAGAACCTTCTGTCTAACCAGAGAAAAAGATAATAACGATATTCTTGTGAACTGTTCAGAGAGAGAGGTGTAAGGAGCGTATTATACTTTAAAAGTACTCATTGTATGGCCTCCTAGTAAGGAAAGAAAACACATCTATGTTTCAGTGATTCTTACTTCGAATTTGACAAAGCCTCTTGTATTTCCTATGTAATTGTCCAGACTCTGCTGTGGGAGTAGAAAGAGATTAGGTGGGTTTTGAGCAAGGCTTGTGTGTCAGTCAACATCCCATCCCTATAACAAAATACCCAAGATTGACAGTTTCCAAGGAGCAAAGGTTTATTTGGGCTCACCATTTCAGCGGCTTTGGTTTATGGTCTCTTGGCCCTGTCACTCTGGACCTATCATGAAAGCAAACAGCATGGTATAAGGCATAGGGTAGACTAAAGCTTTTTAGATCATGGCAGGCTAGAAGCCAAGAGGAACAGCAGGGCAGAATCCCATAAATCTCTTAAAGGTACACCACTGATGACCTCCTTCCTCCAACTAAGATTCACCTCTTAAAAGTTTCCACTGCTTCCCCACAGTGATGCCAACAGTGGAACAAACTTTAGTGCATGAGTGTGGGGAAGAGGGGACATTTAAGATCTCAACCCTATGATGATGACCCTAATGAAATGTAATTTTGGTAAGACAATTGGATATGTCTGATGAGACACATCTTATATACTATGTGATATGCAAAACATGTGACCTGAGATTTGTAAATTCCTTGCCCATATTTTCATTGGCAGAATGGAAATACTGCCCTTGCCATTGCCAGACGCCTTGGCTACATCTCCGTGGTGGACACTCTGAAGGTGGTGACGGAAGAGACCATTACCACAACTGTGAGTAATGGACCCAGCACCTTGTTACCTTCAACATCAATTCTTACACCACCATCTTCCCAGGTGCTTCTAAGATGCTCCTGCTTTCCCCATACATAGATTAAGAGCCCCAAGTCCAAAGTGTCACTCACCGCTGGCAGTCCGAATAATAAAAACCCTCATGTGTTAGTTGAATGAAATCTCGAAACACTAAAAATATCTTTCTCAGTGATCCATATAATTTTTAGTTTCACATAAAGTCATGAACATGTGTGACAAACAGAATTGTGTGTGTGTGTGTGTGTGTGTGTTTCTGTGTCTTGTGTTCATGCATACATGCGCAGGCTAGTCCTGGGGCTTGAACTCAGTGCCCAGGCACTGTCCCTGAGCTTTTGTTCTCAAGGCTAGCATTCTACCATTTGAGCCACAGCTCCACTTCTAGCTTTTTGGTGGTTAATTGAGGATAAGAGTGTCATAGAATTACCTTCCTGGGCTGGCTTTGACCCTCAGCCTGCTGAGTAACTAGGATTATAGGTGTGAGCCACCAGCACCTGGTAACCTAATAGTTTTTAAAGCTTCAGCTTGTCAGATAAGTCATTTCCTTTTAACTCTGTCTGGGTCCTTCAGACAAGGATGTGGTCATTCTGGGACAAAGAGGACTTATTACCCTCTATCAGAGGCTCATGTGAGTTATTCCTAATGCGGACTCAACACACAGACCCCAGATTGAATCTGTACTATATGAATTTAGGTCACAGAACATTGGCAATACTGGCTTTGTTGCCCCTTCTATCATTTCCCAAATAGCACTGTACTGCCTCCACAGTGCTCCATATAAACACTTGGGACAGCTAGGCACCAGTGGCTCACGCCTGTAATCCTAGCTACTCCAGAGACTGAGATCTGAGGATTACAATTCAAAGCCAGCCAGGACAGAGAAGTTCGTGAGACTCTTATTTCCAATAAATTATTCAAAGAAGCCAGAAGCTGTGGCTCAGGTGCTATAGCACTAGCCTTAAGCAAAAGAAGCTCAAGGACAGGGCCTAGGCCCAGAGTTCAATCCCCAGGACTGGCAAAACTAAAAGAAAAACAAATAAAACACTTTAAGGTGTATGTAACTACTTGCAAGCTGAGTTCTTTGGTCATGTGCTGGCTTTAAAAGTTTTAATTAAAAAAAAACAACCTGTAGATCAGAACAGAGAAATTTTGACTTTTATAAAAGAGGAAGATAATTGCTTTAACAGTTCTGGTTATCAACCAGGTCACATTTCCCAACACATCATGATATATACTTCTCGAGTATTTCATTATCTTACACCAACTATCATTAAATTCTCTGAAGAGTGTAAACAAGCAGTATTTATTATTCTTAGTTTTGTAGCTCTCTCTAGCACTGGGAAGGAGGAGGATGAAGGAGATAAACTGTTTAACAATGACCCAATGGGACAGGGCTATAAAGGTGTGACGTCTATGCCCAGTGCTGGTGGCTCACACCTGTAATCCTAGCTACTCAGTAGGCTGAGATTTGAGGATTGTGGTTCACTGCCCGCAGCTGCAAGAAATCCTGTGAGACTCTTATCTCCAGTTAACTACCAAAGAAGCTGAAAGTAGAGATGTGGCTCAAGTGATAGAGCAGTAGCTTTGAGCATGAAAGCTCAGCCAGAGCACCTAGACCCTGAGTTCAAGGCCGGGACCTGTGCTCATGCACACATGCATGTGCGCACACGTGTGCGCACACACACATATACACACACACAATGAAGTCACTGCAATGAGACACTTTTTTCAATGTAAAAGACCTGAGACGTGTAATAGCTCAAAACACAAGTATTATTCAACTAATTTTCTTACCCATTAGGAAATTTCAGAATATTTCTTTGGAACAAAATTACTGTAAGAGGGGCTGGGAAGGTGGCTCAGTGGTAGAGCGCTTGCCTTGCATGCCAGAGGCCCTGGGTTTGATTCCTCACACATAAGAAAAAAGAAAAAAGCCGGAAGTGGCGCTGTGGCTCAAGTGGTAGTGTGCTAGCCTTGAGCTGAAGAGCTGAGGGACAGTGCCTAGGCCCAGAGTTCAGGCCCCATGACCGGACCCAAAAAAATAAAAAATAAATCAATAAATAAATAAAAATACTGTAAGAAAAAGTAGAGTTGCCAGGCACTGGTGGCTCACGCCTGTAATCAGGATACTGAGATCTGAGGATCATGGTTCAAAGACAGCCGGGCAGGAAAAGTCCATGAGATTCTTATCTCCAATAAATCACTTGGAAAACTAGAAATGGCATTGTGGATCAAGTGGTAGAATGCTCACCTAGAGCTGAAGAGCTGAGGGACAGAGCCCAGGCCCAGAGTTCAAGCCCTACAACCGACAAAAAAGAAAAGAAAGAAAAAGTAGAGTTGCAAAGAAAGTACCACTGCAATTTCAGGAACTGTGAAATTCCAATAGACATAACATCAATAAAGTAGAGCCATTTCACTTCCAATGTCATCAGCGGGCTTAACTGGTGACTTATGTTTGCAAGAGAGAAGACACTGTGTACCACCAGGAAAGGTCCATTTCTTCTTCCTAAACAAGAAAATAAGGCCTCCACAAAGTGCTCATACTGATACAAAAAGATTCCATTAAAACTAGGCACAGGGGTGGAAGCCTGTAATCCTAGCTACTTGGGAGATGGAGATTGGGAGATCTGGGTTCAAGGCCAGCCCAGGCAATAGTGAAGTTGGTAAGATTCCATCTCAACCTGTCGCCAAGAGCTGTGGTGCCTGCCTATTATCCCAGATCCCAGGGTATATACCTAGGATGGGGAAGCATAAGTAGGAGGATTGTAGCCTAAGTCATTCAGGGAATATGTGAGACTCTACCTCAAGAAATAACCAATGGCTTGAATGGTAGGGTACCTGCCTAGTAAGCGCAAGGCTCTGCATTGAGTTCAATCTTCAGTGCTGGATTTAAAAATCTCTTTCTTACACCCTTAGCTTTTTATGTGTTCAGAATTAGAAGATGACATGTTTTTAAGCAAAAGTCTACAATTTTCTAAGAAATGCTACCAATGGTGTCTTTCGGATGTATATGGCCTGCATAGATATAAAGTTACCAAGGAACCATAGAGAATCAGTTACTAGAGATTCAACAGGCATTTGCTCTGGAATAATGCTATCTTTAAAACAGAACCTAGAGTCTACAATTTATTGTGTGACTGTATTACTCTAAAATATTTACTATGTTCACGTTATCTTAAGAATTAAAAGTACACACCAGAGGAGAATACAACATAAGTTAGGCTTGACACCAGTAATAAAGACATATTTCTTGCTGTTAATTTGGCTTATTATCACCCAAAAGATCTTTCATGGAATGGGATGGCAGATTCAAGAGAATATGAAAACTTCTGGTGGTTGAGTAGAAGAGGAGATAGCTTAAAAAAAAAAAAAACAAAAAAAACAACTGTTACTATCTTCAAGGAGTTGTACAAGTAGTTGTTTCAATTCAACATGGCAGTTCATGAGTACAATGCATGTGAATCAGTATTATCTCTTTCATCATTCTCCACCCAGCCCCCTTAATTTCTTCTTTCCTTTTGAAAAGCCATATTAGGAACCTAAACCTTTTATGCTGTGCTATCATGCTATACCACTAGAATTCTTCCACCTGGGGCTCCTTGTTACTCATGAAGGCTGAAAGTCCCATAAGAAATCAATGGATTAGGGATGGGAATGTGGCTTAGTGGTAGAGTGCTTGCCAAGAATGTATGAAGCCCCGGGTTCGATTCCTCGGCATCACATAAACAGAAAAGGCCGGGAAGTGGTGCTGTGGCTCAAGTGGTAGATGCTGGCCTTGAGCAAAAAGAAGCTCAGTGACAGTGCTCAGGCCCTGAGGTCAAGCCCTAGGACTGGCAAAAAAAAAAAAAATTTAATATAGAAATCAATGGATTAAGAAAGAAATGAATTGTCTCCCAGGAATGAAGTCTCCTTAAAATTTATAGTCTGCTCACACTAAAGTGATGCTTTTTTTGATTCCAGACCATCATAGAGAAGCACAAAATGAATGTTCCAGAAACAATGAATGAAGTCCTTGATATGTCCGATGATGAAGGTATGGAGTGTCCTTTGGGTTTGTAATATTTGTGAATGATCATATGTTCGTTGGCTCCTGAAGACAGTTCATTGCACAGGATGTTTTCGGAGACATTGAAATGTTATATTGAGGTGTTGGCAGTGACTATTTTTCATATACTTACATTGTTCGCTTAAATCGTGCAGTTCGTAAAGCCAACGCTCCTGAAATGCTCAGTGATGGCGAGTATATCTCAGATGTTGAAGAAGGTACTTGTAAATTTTACTACAATGAAACTTAACTCTCAGCTTTCTTTCATTTCTTATCTTTGAAGTATAATGCTTCCTAAAGTTACTAACCCTCCCCATTATCTTGAGATTATTAATTTGTTTATCACTTAAAGAATGCATATTTGGTGTTACTGATTGTCATCAAGTCTTACTGTAAACCTACTTTCCAACTTAAAATCAAGTGTCATTAATTATCTGGGTTACTTTCTTTCAATTTGTTTCTATTAAGCAAAAAGCTGATATGTTTATTGTCTACATCTGAATCTCAAAATAGAAAGCTGATTAATGTTTATGGTTCATTTCCTTTTTTTTGTTTTGTTTTGTTTTTTTGTTGGTTGTGGGGCTTGAACTCTGTCTGGGCCTGGACACTGTCCCTCAGCTCTTCAGCTCAAGGCTAGCACTCTACCACTTGAGCCACAGTGCCACTTCCGGTTTTCTGAGTGGTTTATTGGAGATAAGAGTTTCACAGCCTTTCCTGCCATGGCTGGCTTTGAATCATGATCCTCAGATCTCAGCCTCCTGAGTAGCTAGGATTAGAGGCATGAGCCACTGGCGCTTAATTTCTTTTTAAATACAAAAAGGCCCCGCTTAATTTCTTTTTAAATACAAAAAGGCCATTCTAAGATTTACTCTAAACTTTCTTTTTTAAATAAAAAATCAACTTTTGCTTGTGAACTAAGTGAAAACTCACCCTAGACAAAACTATTTTCAAAATATAATCGACTTGGAAAGAAAAAAAAATCATTTGAAAACTATGATTGGATCATATTTTATATGTTTGAAGAAACCATTTTCTGTTTTACTGGGGAAAAAAACCAATACATTTGAGGTAGCTTCAGTGGTAGAACTCTTGCCTAACATATTCAGTCCCTAGCACCACAAAATAAAATTTAAAAAATATAGTAATTTTGAGCAGATCATAGTCTATAGCTTAATTTAGTAAATGACATGTTCAAGAGCTCCATTGGAAAACTTCCCAAAGTGAATAAATATGGCAAGGATGGCAAATTTTGCTAAAATAATGGAATGTATACTGTGGTAGAATCTATATTATATTTAAGCTTCTTTCTTGACTCATTTGGTGCTCAGAAACCACGCCCTACCATATTGCCCTCTGCCTCTACCAGCAAGTGTAGTCATTTGGTTTCTTGGGCCAGCCAATATTGCTATTTTTCTGTGCTCATTTTAATGATTGATTCCTTCTTTGAGTCACACAAATTTCATTGGGAACCTAAATAGTAGAAATGCCTACGTGCAGTATAATTCTTTTAACTTTTTCAGTATGTTGTGACTTATTAGAATACCTGCTTTATGGCCGGGGACTGCATACTGGAAAAGCTAAGGTCCGGTAGTCACCTCATTGTTCTTAAATGTTTTGATACAATTTAAAGTATTTATCCTTCCTTCCTCTCTTATCCTTTTTTCCTTTCTTTCTTCCTTCCTTTCATTCCTTCCTCTCTCTTCCTCCTTTCCTTCCTTCCTTTCTCTTTCTTTCTTTCTTCAACTATATATTTCTCTTTTATCTCCTAATAAATAATGATTTTTTCCTCTGGAATTTCCAGAATTATGTATCTTGTTGTCATATTATATTTCAGTCTTTCTCATGCAACAGCTCAGGGTAAATTCTTGTGTGCAGAGGGTAAAAGAGAACTCTGGTCTTGCATGGATATGTACACACACCAAACATGACATCAACATATGCTTTTTAAGCCAGGCATACCAGTGCTTACCTGTAATACCAGCAAAAAGGCTGGGAGTATAAGGCTTGGATTCAATCCCAGAACCTTAAAAAATACTTTTCAAATGAAATTACTTTGAAATATAATATGACAATCACAGACCTAAACATTTATTGATCTTTCAACAAAATAGTCAAAAGATGAGAGGCCTAGTTTGAATGGACTCTATAAATAGACTGAGGTAACCAAATAACTAACCAAATAATAATTTGGTAAGCAACCACATAGTTGCAAAATGAGGAACTAAATCCCTAAATTTGAGTGTAATTGATATTTCTGTTTAACTAGAAATGGCAGTCATTTGCTTTTATATGTAACTCGTAACTTCAAAATTAACAGACAAATTTCAATTTTCATTTTATCCAGCTTTCTTTTTTTGTGTGTCTTTTTTTTTTATTGTGAAAATACTGTACAGAGGAGTTACAATTACATGGGCAAGATAATGAATACATTTCTTATCAAGCATTATAGCCTCCTCCTTTGTTTCCCCTTCCCATCCCTTCCCATCCTCCCCCCCACCCCCCCACTCAATCCTCCCCCCCCCCCCACAAAAGTTGTAAAGTTCATTTTCGACATAACGACTTGTACATCTTATTGTTGCAATGGGTCCACCTGTATCCCTATTTAAATGATTTGTTTTTTATCCAGCTTTCTTTAAGTAAATTGTATATGGGTTTGACCCTGGGCTACTGGAGTCAAATGGTTTTTTATTTCATAATGTTAGAACTTGACACTGAAAGGATTCCTTACAGGCCATTCCAGCTGAACATTCATCCAGCATTAGAAGTTATTTACTTAGGAGCTTCTTTGACCAAATGCTTCCAAAAGTGGAAATTTCTTGATCCCCAAAAACTACCTATTTAAAAAATAAAAATCTCTTTATTATTGAACTTCTTATAGCTTCTCATTATTGATACAGGCTCTGATATATTTGGTGTGGTTGATGAGAAAAACTTTTCAAATGGCAAAGGACAAAATCCACCTTTCCTATATGACAATCCTTCAGATACTTAAAAGTATTTTTCCTATTTCTTCTTAGTGTTTCTTTTCACTTCCTCCTACTGTTTTCCTAGTTCTGGGTAACTCTCCTATGCATGTTTCAGTTTGTATATATCCATCCTAAATTCAGATGGCCAGAATGGAGCACAATAGTGAAGATGCTTTGAGATTATGATAGATATTTAACTGAACACAAACATGACTGTCAGCTAAGGTCCCTAAATTTTCTTTGGATGAACCCTGCTGACCGACATTTGACCAATGATGATCTGTATTGCTCTGTACTACTTCTATATTTCTGCAATCCTAAAATCCACAAGTTCATTGGAATTTTATTTTTATTATTTTTATTTTTTATTTATTAATTTTTTTTGAGTCCGGTCATGGGGCCTGAACTCTGGGCCTGGGCGCTGTCCCTCAGCTCTTCAGCTCAAGGCTAGCGCTCTACCACTTGAGCCACAGCACCACTTCCGGCTTTTTTCTTTTTTGCTTATGTGGTGCTGAGGAATCGAACCCAGGGCCTCATGCATGCAAGGCAAGCGCTTTACCATTGAGCCACCTTCCCAGCCTTCATTGGAATTTTAATTCTAAAAGAACTCCTGCAAATTTAATGAGTTTTGACTTCTGACTCATTTGCATAGTGGTCTTGCTAGAGCTTTGAGTGTCTTTACTTGGCTTTAGTGCTACCCACTTGAGTGGTGCTTATGTGGCTGACACATGTTCAGTTCCATAAAACCAGAGGCATAATGGGAAGAAAATCTACAAGAATTAGTTGTTACCAGCGGACATTAATATGCAATATATACTTCCAGTGTATCCCAAGAAAAAAAGAATGATTTTGTAATAGGGAACATGAACATTTTAATCCTAGCATATAACATAGAGTAAATATTTAGGGATTAATATCTACTCATCTTTGTCTCTTTCTCCTTTCCTTTTTTACTTCCTCCTTCTCTTTCTCCTTTTATTTTAGTCTATTCTGACAAATTGGTATAGGTGAAACAATATTTAGACCAATTCCTTAAAAAAAAAAAGAACTTCAAGGAAGTAGGTACCAGTGGCTCACAGAAGGCTGAGATTTGAGGATCACCATTTGAAGCCAGCCTGGGCAGGAAAGTCTGTGAGACACATCTACAAAAAATAGCTCAAACAGCTGAAAGTGGAGCTGTGGTTCAAGTAGTACAATGCTAGCCTTGAGCAAAAGAGGCAATTCCCAGGCCCTTGCATTCAAGCCCAGAGATTGGGGGGAGTGGGGTTAGAAACCTTAAGGAAAACAGATGTAGGCAATGTTATTATTAAATGACATAGGGAACAATGGAGTAGAGATACAGAGAAGAACAAAGGTTGAAGAACCCAGACACTGGTGGCACACATCTGTAATTCTGTCTACTCAGGAGGCAGAGGTCTGAGGTTCAAAGCCAGTCTGGACAGGAAAGTCCAAGAGACTCTTATTTCCAATTAGCCACTGGAAAACCAGAAGTGGCTCTGTTGCTCAAAGTGGTAGAGCACTAGCCTTGAGGAAAAGAGCTCAGGAACAGCACCCAGGCCCCAAGTTCAAGCCCACAATCAAAACTAAATAAATAAATAAGGTTGAAGAACCCATAGAGAGTCTAGGAAAGGATTCAAAGCAACTTTACATAGAGCAAGGTGCATCACTCAGAGTACATTGCACAGAGATGGGGCAGAGAAGAGGAGATGAACATAGCAGGGCCTCAAAGGGCCCTGCCTCCACGTTATACCATTTCTGGCCAAAAAATATCTACATGCATGACACCACACACAAAATTCACATCTCAATTCTGCTGCCAGTTAGATCTTTGCGCTGCAGTTGCTTTTTTTTTTTAATGAAAACAAAATATGGAAGAGGAAAGAAGTAGGAGGGAGAAGAAAAGAGGAACAAGGCAAGGCTACATACGCACAGGAAGAAATAGAGAAGAGGGAAGGAAGGGAGGGAAGAAGGAAGGAGAGAGAAAAGTATGAGAGAGAGAAAGAATATTGAGATCAAGGTCCACGTTATCTCCTAGTTTGGGTTCCCCACCCAGGGAAATGTCACTGTGGCTCTGGTTCAACTTTGATCACAAATTGTAAATTCCTAGAATGTCTCTTGTTAATTGAAAAGAGAGATAAAGAGATAATAGAGTTGGGTGAGGTGATATATGGCTGTAATCCCAGTGTGGAGGAGTCTAAAGCAGGAAGATAAAGAGTTCAAATCCAGCTTGAACATAAACTTTAAAAAATCCA